AATTAACCGTCCGTGTTACGGATCAGTTTGGACCATTATTTTGATAAGTCATGGAGTTCCTGGTTAATTCAAGGGCGCATTCACCCCTAAAGATTCAATCCTACAACAGACAACCCAAAAATATGTCTGATCACTCAGCCAGCCACAGATCAGACATTGGAGAGTATTTGAGAGCAGCCTGCATGGAGAATCTATGCACAAGTGTTGAATATTGAATTAAAAACTTTAAGAATTGCTCAAATTAAGCTAATAGTTTGGTGAAAACTTGTACTGTTGCTTTAATATGTTCTCAGTTTGCTTATGGTGATCAAACATCCCCAATTTCCGCGGGCAGTCCTTGTTTTGGACCACCTGTCCCCGGCTAAAGCCGTCCGCCGAAATATTACCATTTTATGAATGAGGGGGAAATGTTGCGTGAAGACTGTTATTACAGTAGAAAGAGTGGAGCAAACGAGCAGGCTGCATGTGCTGTTACACCAAAAATGTGCACTTTTTATTTATTGCATTTTTACATTTTGAAGTTAAGCAGAACAGGCTTATGTTTAAGATACTTATTTTATTCAGCAAAGTTTATTATTTTGTAATGAAGTGAATTGCTGGATAGTAATTTTTTTCCCCATCAGTTCATTTCACTGAAAAATATGCATCTAATTCAATGCAGATTACAGTCAAATAGTGAAAAAAAATCATTTCACACACAAAGGCGCTAAAACAAAATCGCCATAAAATAAGCCTTTGATGCGTTGTTTTACTAAAGAGGAGGAACGGAAATGTAACATATACCAAGCTAATCAATAAAAAATAAATCAGACCATTGGCTGCAGCTGGTATGAGGAAATAGACTCAGATAAAATTAAACAGATGGATTGAAAACTCCTGGAAAGGACCTAATCTGGTTCGATGGTTCTCCAGGGATAACAATGTTCGCCTAAAGATGTTTTTACAACTGATCAATTACATTTAGTTTATATCATCGTATAGTTAGTTCTTTTAAGTAGAGTTATAAGTTGTTTGGCTGTTTTTTTACACTAGATTTTGGTTGTTTAAATATAAAAAAATATGTAAAAATGAATGAAAGCGTCACTGTCCCTGTTTCCTATTTTTAGTTTTCATGATATGTATTTATTTTCATCCGTGAGCTGAAAATGTGCTCAGATTAGATTGCAGAAATCTGGTCACCTTAAGTTTGCTTCAAGAGTTAACTATGTCCAAACTAATATATTTTTGTAAAAATCGGCCATTATAAACATTACAGGAGTTTAAAGGTTCATAAACATATGTGGAGTCTATTTGAGATGAAACCATATTAGTCCTGGTCCCTCTTTGACCAGCCTTTAGTGCACTTTATAACGATGCTGACAACATATTATACTGCAAGTACAATATTGACAGCTTATGTTTCTGCAAAAAGAAACCCTGAGTAACCCATTTATCAGTAATACTGTAAATAAATATGCATGAGCTGTAGAGTTGAGACAGTTGTGCAAAGACAGGGACACGTGGAATGACATTTTATTGCGCGATTAGTCATTTTTCAGACAACAAGGCTCCCAGAAAACATTAAAACAAACAGCAAATGTACAAAACAGAACACCCTTCTTTTTATTTGCCATCAACAGAAATTTAATAAGGTAGTGAGAGTACATAACAGAAAGTAAATGGTGTGTGAGGACGCCGAGTGTGATGACGCTGAGATGAATGGGATGAGCTCGATGTCAAAGCCAAAGTAAGCACCATCGTCATGTAGTCAGGAAAAAGGCCATATTTCAGTAAGAAATATCCTACAACGGGTGAGGAGAGGTTAAACATGATACAAGAGGGTTGTTATCACAGTTTTCAGACATTTTTTTTTTTTACCAACTAAAGAAAAAAATCAGAACAATATCGGTGTAGCACTACTTTATCATGCAATTTACTTTAGTAAACCTTCTGACACACAGACAAAATATACTTCAGTAAGTAGAACTCAACACATCTCTGTCCAGCAATAGTCACAAAGCCTGTAATTTATACTCTTTAAATGTGAGATCCCTATCAAAAATAATATGCAGATTTTTCTTTTTCTTAATATATCTAAAGTGCAAGTATCCATTTTTATTCAATGCTTTCTGTAAGTATAAAATACAAAGGAGAAAAAAAAAACAGCAAGATGTTTTTTTCCTGTTTACATGTTATATTTTCTGAAAGGAAGGAGCATCATATATAACAAACCATATATATATATTTATATACACACACACACACATACGCTCACACACACACGCCACAGATAAAATATATTTTTTTGAAAGATACAACATATTATCTCGTATGGGGGATGGGTAAAGGGATCAAACGGTGTCATGGGATATGTTCATTGTGCATTGACCCCCCCCCCCCATGTTCCCAACGGCCTCCAAACACTTGAAGGAACGTCGCCATAATTATACACAAGAGTAGCCTGTACAATCCGCAAACATTGTGGACCCTACTGCTTTGTGCGTGTGCAAACTGAAGACATGCTGCATAACTCCCCCCCCCATCCCTAAAGAAAAAAAAAAAAGTAAAGAAATCCCCCCTCACTATCCTTTAGAGTACTTGGCTTTGACGAGAGGTTGAGATTGGCTGTGATTTCTGCTTTGTTTGTTCACCAATAAGGCCTCCAAATACAAAGGTTGGTTTTAGTTGTGGGAAAAAAAACCAAAACGTCATCTTAAGTTTTGTTTTACTCAGAAGTCATTTGCAGAAGCCGGTCGCCCGGCAACAACTTGGTTTGTGTCACTAGGCATGGGCCGGAAAGTGGTGATAACATCACAGTATTAATCTAGGATTTCAATTGATCAAAATGATTTTATCATTAAAAAAACAACAAATGTTTCTAGTAGTGTTGCACCAATTCCATTTTTAGGCCCAGATACCTGGCTGTGCAGTATTGGCCGACACAGATACCATCTGTTTGAAATTGATGTGTGTATATACGAAGAACTGCATACTAATTGGATGTAAAATAATTGCCATCATGGCTTTGTCAAGCTGCTGCTACCTTTGTGAAGCAGGAAAAAGACTAATACAAAGTGAATCCAGTAGAACTTTTATTGCCTCCCTGAAATGGGTGACAATAGTTGAAGAAACTTTTGGCTCTCAAAATGGTATCGGTGCCCTATCTGTTGGTACTCGCCGATACCGATGACATCATTTTAGTGCTGGATCGGGGCCTCGCCCGATACTCACTAATTTCTACTACAGTAAAAGCGATTTATTGATCATAATGTTTGAGTAATATTTGTGTTTTCTATTAGTATCATTAACTTTATTTGATACTAAGGACTTAAAGGTTAGAGCTACTTTTTTATTGGAACTATTAATTCTTTTTTAAAAACCACAGAACTAAAGTGGAGCAAAATAAAAGTATTTTAATAGAAAAGTAAAAAAAAAAAAGTGTACGAATAAGAGATTTTTAAATTTTGACTGGTCCGAAATATATAATAAACATTGACTTCTGGTTATGATTCAAACGTGAACAGGAAAAGAGTGCAGCAATAGGAACAGTAGGTTGCAGTCACATGAGATGGAGCTCAGCAATGCCAGATCCTATTGGCTGCATGTTAGAGCAGAGAAATGGCTTCTTCCTCTTCCCATCCAAACCAAAAAAAGAAGCAAAATGTAGGTGAAGATCGTTCAAGTTTTCAGAGTTGGTGTCGACCTAAGTAGGCGAAGGGGCTCAGAAACCAAGCGGAGGTTTCTTCTTTCCTTATGGACAGGCAGGTTAAATGCAGACCTAAACGAAGGCAGGCCAGCACGACTGTGCCGCCTACCTGTTGGGAGGATTTCAACTTGTAGCAATAACCTTTCATAAAATGTAGAATGTTTATAACGCTAAATATTCTTATTTTTCAAACAGTAAATTGTGACTGCAGTAAAAATATTTTAGATTTTAAACTGTCTTGACTTCTTTATGTATTAATTTCTAACAATGTATTTATTATAAGACAGCCATGGTTGGGGATTAAGCAGCAGCCAGATTAAGTAATTTCCTTCAGGAAAATAAAGTCAATATTAGCTTCTTTTTGTTCTTTATCCACTGACATTGCTGGCTAATTTGCTGAGCTACAGGTAAAGCCTGCCATCGGCAAAGAAATCATGACAGATTTTCTTAACGACTGAATTTTTCTTTCTTACTGCAGCCTTTTTTCAGCCATCTGATTAGCAATGCACAGCAACAGGTGTGGTCGGGACAGTGCCACACAGCAAGAGGAAAATACACTCACTTTCACTGGCCTTTTAAAAAAGATATTCACAATAATTCTTTGAAACCATCGCCTGGCCCATGCCTGGTGTTTGGAGAAAAAAGAAAAACCAGCCAAAAGCACCAAAAACTGCAGTTATCATTTCCACCTTCATCCTTTGCTCAACAAACACTGCATGGCATCGGTGGAAGGAACTGAAAATCGCATTTCATAGGAGAGATGCACACAGAAAGCCAGAAAACACAACCTTTGAGGGGTTGCCGTGATGCTCCCTGGAGTATAATTAATCAAACCATAATTATCATCGATGCTAACAGCTTCACTGAACTTCAGAGCACAGCCGGACCCCTGACACTAAACAGCCGACCATCTCGCATCCTAGAGAAGCTCTAATCGGTGCAACAACATGGCTGCAAGGTCACTCTGGGATTCTTTAGTTTTTGCTTTGAGTCTGAGTGAAACAAGTAACTAGATTTGATTAGCAAATCTAAATAAAAATAAGTGCATTCTGGACCTTTTCATGTAATTTCAAAAAGGGACGAGTCACGCGTAGTCAGTCACCTGTAGCTCTGACCTTAACAGTAGACTCTTTAGTCTGTAAGGACGAAAAGTGCAAGTGTCGCAGTGGGAGGGGGGTCATAAAGTTTCTTATAAACTTTGAGAAGGTGCGATATCTCATATTTGGCTTACAGGAAAACTTTAAGATCGACGTAGCATGAAACTTTTGAACAACTAAATTAAATCAAGCTTAGGAGGGGAGAAGGAAGAGAGAGAGAGAGAGAGAGAGAGAGAGAGAGAGAGTACTTTGGAGGTTAAAAGCTGCATCCCAACAGAGTTTGGACTTGTATCAGGCTCAGGATGAACTCGGACTGACCTCAGACGTGCTTTGCTGGGCACATAGTCATAGGTGGCACGTGTTCAATAGATATGGGCTTCCTTTTGTCATAATTCACAGCCAGCGTGAGGAAATATCTCTGCAACAGGGCAAAAAAAAGATTCCCTGTTCTTTACAACGGCTGGTTAGCTGTCTGCAGAGAACTGCTAGGCCTTTCCTTTCGCCGGCTCTCTCTGAGATCAATACGAGCCAAAAAACCGCTTGATACAGGTGAAAAAGCACAACAAATCAAAGACAAATTGTCTCTCTGTTTTTAAATAAAGAGAACCTGCAGCCAAGGTGAGCATCTGCTTTCCTAACACTGGCATCAGGGCCTTTTACAGTCTGTTTCCCCCTTTAAGTCTGCTTCGTAGCCACGTGACTGGGATCAGTTGTTAGCTGCTGGGTGCCAACTGGCTTTACATAAACCTGATCGTGATCTAAGCGCGTGGAGCTCAATTTTAAAATAATTAGACGGTGCCAGCTCTCTAGAAAGAGACCGGACCTCCTTCAGGCTCTGGCTGAGAAAGAGAAGCCTGTGTCAGAAAAAGCTGATCAAAATCAAAATATTAATGAAATAAAAAGCAGAATTGTGCATCACCTGTCCTGCAATCAGTGATTCTGTACGAGATCCTAACAACAAGAGGCTTTTTGTAGTTTTAGACACCATTCAAAATACTTTAGAGACCTCCCAAACACTCAGAGAGCAACAGGAGGCCTAAGCAGGGGGAGGCTGGATGTGTGTGTGTGTGTGTGTGTGTGTGTGTCGGCCACCTCTGGACCCCAGCTTCAGGATGCTTTCTAGACACCCGAGGAGGGGCCGACTGTGCGTCTGTGTTGTATGCATGTAAAGAAGAACGGGGAGGGGAGGGGGTGATCTCATCGAGGACATGAAAAAAAAAAAAAACAATAACACAAACTAGTGTATGCGCACTGAATGACAGACAAGGCAGCCGACTGGTTTACAGAAAGTTAAAGGAAAATTTAAAAACAAAAAGTTCTCACTACAAGGTTTCTTCAGTTTGAGCAGTCTTCACATTTGGGAAAAATAAAAACAAAACAAAAGAAAAACGCAGGAGCAACATCCTTATCTTCATGCTTTCAAATATCTACCGATCACATAGCCTGTACATTGTTTTTTTTTTGTTTTTTGTTTTTGTATTTTTTTCCTCGTTTAATAATCTGTACACTTGATACAATGCCACAATTGGCACGTACACAATATTGCACACTAATATGAAATGTCCTACATCAGTCAGGTGGCTTCTTCTCTTGCTGGGAAGGAGAAACCCGAGACGTTTTGGACAACGTGGAGACATAAACTCTGAAGACAGAAAAAAAAAAAAAAAGAAAAATATGATGCAAAAAGGGACATATCATGAGTGGCGAGGGCTCCCTCCCAAGGAGCCACCAAGGGGGCTGTAGCACCATGAAAAGATAGATACTGCCTTGGCCCTCTGCATCCTCTGGACTGATCTCAGCTTTGACATCTGCTCTCATCCAGCAGCTCCTTATCTTTAGTTTTTTACTCACCATCATGGTGCATATAGATTACAAAGCCATATTTTATCATTCCTGCCTACAGGCAGAGAAGACAACAGCAGGGGCGTTGCAAAGGGGGGCGGGGCCCAGGCCCTTTCCACCCACCACCGCCACACCCGTCTCTCCTTTTAGCTCCGACTTGGTGTTCCAAACTCACACTTTTAAGGACCGTAGGGGGGGTGTGCAACCCTGCAAACCCCCGGTAATTCTACCATATCTCTGCCTACGATGACAACACTCGTAAATAAAAACATACAACGGTCGAGGTCACGGACCATCCGTGTGAGAGACACGTAAACGAGTGGAGTGTATAAGGCACGGGTCGTAATGACGTCAGAGAGGATGCTGTAGCCTCGCCGCGCGCTGCGCTGACGCGTCTAAGGTTTCTTTTTTTTGTTTGTTTTCTGCGTCTTGCGCCAAGAGACCTCGACCTTTTTTTTTTTCTTTTTTTTTTGCATCCCCCACACCATCCAGAGGAAAAGAGTGACAAAGAAACAAATAAAACAAAGACTTTTACCCACAGAAAACGTGGGTCTCTTAATAAGGATCTCGTTTTTTTTTTTTTTTTTTTACAGCTGATTCACAAAATCATAATTAGTACATCTAAGTTAGCACTTTTCTCCTTTAGGTTTACATGGACATGGTGCAAGAAAGTTGATATTCAATAGAGAAGCTCAGATTTATCCCACTATCAATATTAATATCATTTTTTTCCTCTTTAAAGGCCCTCTGTGAAGGCTTTTTAAATCTGTCTGAACTTTTCCAGAATTGCATGAAAGAAATACTGTCAGCTGAGCACGCTTTAGGTCAAACCAGAGTCCAACACTCCAACTTCTTCGCAAAGCATGAGCCGACATGCTGACAGGTTTATAAAAACCTTGTAGTGCTTCTTATTCCATACAAGTGCTTTTACCTTTACTCTGCGTACCTTAATAAGTAAACTTTACATCTTCTGGTTTCTGATTTTGGTTTCATAAAATCCATTATACATGATGTTCTCTTTGTGCTGATGTCAAATATTAATTCAACATGAAGACGATCGATTCATATAATAGACCTCTGCTTTTTACTTTGATTAAATCTTAGCATATATGCAGTTTGAAAACATTTACTTTTTTTTTTTTTTGAAATAGCTTTGATGTGTGCAAAATATGTCATTGATAGAGATAGGCTATAAACACTCTGTTCATTGTCATTTAAACCAAGTAGGAAACAGTTCATATCTTACAGTTCCGTCCTTGATAGCAGCGGCTTACTGTTACATGGGTGGTAAGTGGGGTGACATCCAGTAAAATGAGCGAGGAGGCAGCGGAAGGTGCTGCCATGTCTGTGGAGGTTGTGTGTGTGTGTGTGTGGGGAGGGAGGGGGGGTGATTCCCGTGGAAACTCTCGTTCTATCTTACAGTTAAAAAGTCTCGGGTTTTTCATCTTTTATTTTTCTATTCTCTCACAGTTCAGGATGCGTCTCGCTCGGTTCACCTGCGCTCCTCAGTCAGTCATCGTCTCCGTCATCCGCGCCGTGCGGGCCCTCAGGTAGCAGTTCGGAGGCCCGCTTCTCTCTACTCCGCTCCTGGATCTTCCGCATCTCCTCCGCGTATTTACAGAAGGTGTTGCCGAATTTGGACCACACTTTGCAGGGGACCGTAATGGAGTTCCGGTACGTGGGCTTCACCTCGCTCACCCGCATGAACACGCCGTACTTGTTGGAGCCCACGTCGAAGAAGAAGCGCTTGTTGTCGACCGTGAGAGAGGTGCCCTCCGGGAGCTCCGCCGGCTCCTCGTCCACGCCGTAGTCGTCGATGAGTTTGGCCAGAGCGTCGCGGAACTCGATGAGACCCTGCGCCGGCAGAGCGATGGTCTGGCCTTGCGCGCTTCCCAATCCGGGGCCCCGATTAACGGTCTGCCGGATCCTCAGGAACCGCCCCCTCTGGTTCTCTTTCAGATCCATGTAATATTTCCGATTCTCCCGCACCAGGAATTCGCTCTTCAGCGCCCGCCGGGGCTCATCCTGCACCATGTCTGGGTTCGTGGGGCCCAGCTGGGCGTAATGTTCGATAAAGTCCCCGAGATAGTCACGGAACTCCACGGCCACGGACATAGAGAGAGTCAGGCGGCTCTTGTTTCCCCCAGCGCCGACCTCGGCTATCTTTAGGAAGCGGCCTTTAACATTCTGCTTCACATCAAGGTAGAAGCGTTTGTTCTGGATGTCGACACGTTTGGAGGCGAGCTCCTCGGTGTCGTGCTGCAGCCGAGACATGGCGCCCATCGCGCCCGGGGGCAGCGAGCCGGGGCCTGCGATGGGCCCTCCGTGGTCACTGCCACTGTCTCTGTCCGCCATGATGCTGCCTCCCTGCGTTACCTTCCACCGTCTCCCTCTGCCTGCTGCAACCTCGACTGCCCGTCAAGCCGATCCGCTGCTCTATCGCGAGACGAGAGAAGAGGAGGGAGGAAAAAAATAAAAATGAAAGTAACAGGAATCTGTGCTGCGTTCAAGAACCCGCGCTGCTTTTACAACACCGAGCTTACGTTTTGTTTTATTTCATCTTTAATAAAGCAGTGTGCTGCGGAGTAAAGCC